CACTACATAATATTATATTTTATATTATCACTGAGATAGATTTTTCACTTCATTTTATCCAACGAAATTAGCGTATCGAGAGTCGACCATAACATGTATTTAAGCTGTATGTAATCATGATTAACCATGTCTCTAACTGTCAACGTCCGATCATCAAACGTCGATAATCAGATAAAGTAAGATTTTTTTTTTAATGTACCCTGCAAGACAAAAGTACAGTATATATTATTTAATACACAATTATGATTGGTCCAAACAACCTTTCAAACATTTCCTGTTGGTGATAATCATAACCGCAGTGTTTATTATTATCCTACTTGACTTTAATTATATTTTCAAAGAACTAAAACTCTTAAAATCTATAGTATTATTCCAAACTCAAAAATAATTATATTGTATCTCATGGCCTAAAAATTAGAGTCGATTCTAACACATTTGATTCTAGTGAAGCCGTTCAAACTGAATAATACGGGCAATGGGCATATTTGAAGAACATATTATTAATTATTATCAATATAATTTTAATAAAATTCAAACATTATTATTAAGACATTTAGTTTTAAGAAAATACATCTTTACTTTAGTGAATCATGCATAAATAGGAATCCTACCTACTGTAGCCAAAAAAAAGAAATTCAAACTTAAATTCAAATTTGTATTACTTAAATACTAACAAATCTGTTGTTATATGAAAATATTTTTTACTTTTTTATTGATTGAAATCGATAAATATTGTTTGATACACAGTATATATATTTTTTCAATTTATTTTAAATACCTATCCACATATATTATCTACAGAGCGTCTAATACAAATTAAGCTCTTAAATGTATACAGTATTCAGTTCTATTATAGAATCTCACAATATTGTATGTACCTACTTTTCTTGTTAAGTAATCATTATTAATAATTCTTAAAACTAACTAGCACAATTAAATTGTTTTGAAAATATACCTTTTTATTCAAAATATGCAAGATTTTTTTCTTGTTTTTACTTATAAATTTTTTGACATATTTAAATTTACTTGGAACTCATCAAACTAATATATTTTTATTTAAAACAAACTTTAGAATTATATTATTATTTTCAAATTTATACTTCAGTTTTTAAATTGTATCTAATAATTTTGAACGTCAAAACTTTATAACACTTTAAAATGAATATTATGTATAATGTGTACACTCAAAGGTCTATTTTACCTGTATGAAAATATCTTTTTATTGTCAACAACACACTTGTGACTCAACCTTTACACAATATCATATATTTTACTTTAAACCTATGCATATTAACTATATAAAACTAAGTTTTTACTATGAAATGCTTTGGAGTTGATATACATACAATTGAGAAATTTCATACATTTGAACTGATGAGGATATAAAATGATCCTTCAACAAAACTAGAACAAATATAAGTATTATTGTTTATTTGTATGTCTTGCAGCAAGTATCAGCAAATTTTATAAATACTATTTCATGTATAGATAGTAGGCGCCTATATCTAATGTCCGAAGTATACAATCAAATTACAATACTTCCTACAGTATAAGCAAACTAAATTAATTTATTAAATTCCGGAACAACATAGTAATTACTTAATTCCCTACATTATTAAGCCTTTGCAATCCAAAAGTCCAATTAATAATTGTTAGTTTTTCTTTTTTACTTTTAAAAGTTGTTGAATGTTTTAATTAAAATACAAAAAAAACTATTTTTTCATAATTTACCTTACAGATTATTTCGAATTTTTAGAATTATATTTATATATAATGCCATTTACCGATTTTAAGAAATAGGGAACATAAAGAATAAATAAAACATTTCTTAACTACTTTGAGAAAGACGTATTCAATAATGTTTTAGACACTCATTTCTCTTCGCTCGCTCCATCACCCCCAAGTGACAAGTCAGACTGTTCTTTAAAAGCCACTGATTCTATGCAAATACAGAATTCAGTTATTCTATCATTGATGAATTAAATTTCTTTAAAAAAATCAAACAACAAAATATTTAAATAGTTCATTATTAAACTTCATCTTGCTGAGTGCTAAAAAAAGCCTAAAACTATATGTTACACTCTTAGCACTCGTGTTTTATACAATGCATAATTACACAATATGGATAATTTCTCAAGAAACAGACACGGAAATTACGACATATATACAAAGAATGTTGTAAAATATTACCTCTATTACCAAGAATAATTATTACCTTTAATTTAATTTAATTGTTTTCTTTTTTATTATGAGTTTTGAAGCTTTTGATAGTTTTATGTCATAATATACAATTTATTAGCACACTGTATATCATCGAATACATCATAATACAAATATTTATTTTCAAGGCTTAATACAAAATAACTTTATTATTCTATTTTAGATTTGATAGTCATTTTAAATCATTCATCACGAAAGATGATATTATAGTTTGAAGCTATAGTAACACCTTTGATTCTAAACTCATAGTTTGTAATATATTATACTAATAAGTACAACTCAAATATTTAAACTTTTACACATTGATTATATTACATGTAATTATAATCATTTAAACATGCATGTATTATGTTTAAAATAATTTGTATAAAACTTTAATTGTAATGAGTATTTAGAAACGTCAATAACCAAACTAAACAAACATATGGAGTTCTTGAGAGCAGTTAGTAGACTGAGATCGGCTGAACATGTGTGGAGGTCTGAAGGCCTCATTGGGTTGGCCACAATTTGGAAACAGAACACAAAAAGGCCGAGAGGATGGACCAGACAGAAATGGAAAGACAGGATCACCAATAATACATCGAGGTTGGGAATGAACAATGGAGAAAACTGCCTCAAGATAGGGATTGGTGGAGGCAATTGGATGTTGGCCCATAAAAGCCTATTAAGAATATAAAATACCCTTTGCAACAAAAGCATAAATGAAAAAAAATGTACTTTAAGCTAACAATATTTGTTTACACACTTTAAATGTATATTAAATCAAATATTAGTTAAATTAAATTTAAAAAAACCTCTTTATCGATTATTTAATATAACATATATACAAATTATATTTTGTCATTCAAGTTTCTCATGAAATATTTAGAGACTCTATAGAGTAGAAAAAAAAATAACATGATTAATTTTGCTACCAAAACGCATAGTCACCTTACTTACACCTTACTATACGACAAGTTACTGAAATAACAAATTGTATTCGAAAAAATGAATGAAGAAAATGAAATTATAAATAAATTATATCAAAAACTAAATGATATAGGTACATAATAAACACCATAATTGCAAAATAAGAAATTCATCGAACTGTTAGTATTCAAGTTACTTTTTACTTTCTTCATTCCATTTCATAAAATAATTATTGTAACGATACAAGATTAAGTACGTACTCTATTTTTAATTTTTTTTTATCTTTGCTATCATCTAGTGAGATCAAGTAAAAAACACTAAGATACTATCAACTGTATTAGCCTTTAATAGAAACACCAATTTTGTAGGGAGGTACCTACTTATTAACTAAAATATTATAACTCAATACATACCCAAGATCGACAAAATCTTTATATTCAAAGAATTTAAAACTATTTTTACATCTGTGCAGTGGCAAGTGGCAAACTCAAAATTGTCCGGGGCAAGTTACAAATATCCCAAATATTAATGAATAATAATATATTAATCTAATACAACTAATTATATTTCAGATAATTACTGACTACCTATTAAGTAAATCATATTATATTTACTAGGGAACCCACCGGCTACCAATCAGCCCTTGATTTAAGAAAAATCTCAGAGGCAATTGCCTCTGAAATAAATTACCGTTCACCATGCCACTGCATCGTGTATTTAGGTCGAGTATATTATTACGTTATAGTTTAACGTAAATAGAATTCAAAATGTGTAACACATTTTACGAGATTTTATATATACATAATGTAATAATATTATGTAGATTACACACGACAGAAAACAATAATATATGATGGTATAAAATAAACCGGGGAAATATATTCTATTGAAATAATAATATTGATTTCCCATCATCAATTTTATTATCGACCAATACGAATTTACTATTCGTTCACACCTTTGAATACCTAACCTATAACCGATCTACCTATGGGCTATGACGACGTATACTGTTTTATAATCAAAGTCAAAAAAAAATGTTCGACGACTACCCTTTGTACCTATACAATATTATAATATATTATAATATTGTATTCGAAAACGCGTTTATGTAATCTTTATATGATATTTATAAATATATTGGTATCTCTAAGACGATATTTATTGACCTAAATACCTAATGAATAAATATTATAATATAGGTACAGCGGCGAATGTAGGTACCTACCTGCTATATTATTATCTATAGTTTACGCAGGTGGTCGGGTCGGAGAAATATTCTCACCGGCGACGCCACCGCTATTGGGTTTACTCAATTAGTCGGCTGCCATCGGCGGCACGCGTTTTCCATAGAATATAGTTGTTGTTGCCGCCAGCATACATTACATCCGAGCTTTTACTACCGCCATTGAACACTTGTATACCACGTACAAGTAACATCATTAACGTTTTTAAGCTCCACGAGTAGAGTAATATGTCTGACGAAACTATATTATACATTATTATGATGTGACAATGTTGCGAGGACGTGCATACGTATATATTATAATTTATATTATATAATATTAAGCGAAAACTGCAATAATATTGTATGCACGCCACGGTGGGATTACATCCACACAATACGTATGAATACGATTTTAAACATAAAACAATTTATTATTAACGCATATTATAATATTGAGATTTTTCATTCTCATTTAGTGAGTACATATTTTATAATAGTTATCCCCGCATATTCATTTTCGCAGCGGCCGTGTTCATCCTACATACTATTATTATTAATAGACAATCCGATCGATCGGATCATTATGTTATAATAATATATAAACCTAAAAATGACTATTTTACAAATATAACCTTGATCTTACCTGTGAGCTGCCACGTACATTTTGAAGTAAACCAAAATAAGGGCAGCACAGGGAGCTATGAATGCGATCAGTAACAATACCACACCATGTGTTTTTTCCATCATCGCCACGGGAAACTTATGGTGTAATAGCAAGTCCTTGAATAACATCGGTGACGCAAACGCAGCTGATATACTCCATACCGTACCTATGACTGAACATCAAGTGTCAATTAACAAAAAAACGTATAGTTGAGACACATGAGAAAATATGTATTCATGTATTTATTGGCTATAGTTATTATTTGTGCTATTTAAGAATTAGAATTCTATATGCTCTATTCATTGTTTTCACTTTGTGTTATTATTATGTATCAAGATCCCTGCAATTAGTATTATCATTATTATACCTCGACGATAACTAAATGATAATAATAAATATTTTTAATTTAAAAACAAAAAACACATATACAAATACTATAAAAGAATTTAATAACAAAAATGTATAAATAACAATTGAATTTATTCGGCTATTATAATATTTTATTGTATACAGCTTTAATTTATGTAATAATTAAAAGGTTGCCATCCACAAAGTAATCCTCGCCTCTTCAAAGAAAACACGATCAAATAAAACACATCAAATTGAAGGATCCAAAATATGAATGACTTAGGCGAGAGAATTATATCTTGATGAGATTACATAACTTGGATAAGAAAGAATATTAATTTATGATCAAATATTCTCAAAAAAATTATGTATAGAATATTCAAAATAAAAATAATTTAATAAACGACCACAGACCATTCAGAATTAAGATAATTTTACAATACTTAATCAAATATTATAATAATTAGATATTTTACACAACGAAGGATATAATTTTATTTCAACATAAAAAATCTATAAATTAAAATGGTAGAGAGGGGACGTATAGTTATGTATGTTAAATACTTCAATGGTTATGTTAAACTGCACTAAACACATGATCCACGCTCGCTCAGACAGTTTTTTAGTAATTACACGAATATTAAAGGTTAGTTTAAAGGAGAAGGACGTGGTCCCCAGGCCTCAAAAGTCAAAACTTGACATTTTTTGTCAAGTTTAGTTTCGTAATTAAATCACGACATGAATTAAAGTATTAAATCATAGTAAAATTATCAAAGAATTTTCAAATGTAAAGCACGAAAAAATTGTTATGTTCGTTGTATTTTTGAGTTTTTTTTAAGTATGTTGTATAATGTATATCCTAAAATAATAATTAATAAGCCATTTAACCTATATTTTTTAAGAGGGGCCTCGTTGAAAATGTAGAGTCCAGTATCTCACAATGGTTTAATCCGAAATGTAAAGTAATACCTCATATTATTATGATATGAAAAACCATCAAGCGTGATATATTATTATCCGTATAATTTAAAAACAATTTTAGTGAATACGAAAACATGAATATAATTATAATTATAATTAATTCATAGTCAATTTAGGTAGTTACCTACCAAAAACTTATTCTGTTCTTACCAATTCAACATTTCTTATACAATATTCTATGATTTAAAATTCTGATAAACTTTAAATAAACATACAATTTTCTAAATAAAATAAAATGAATTTTTTTTTTAGCTTTGTGAATTAATAATAGACCATTTATTTACCCAGAATATTACTGTACAGAGTGATCCAACAAGTATGCTCACCCCTTTTTTTCATTAATAATGAAGTTTTTCAAAATCTGATTTTTGGAATCTTAAAATATACTCAAACACCATATTTTTATATTCTTGAGATTTTTTGTGCCACTTAAGAAATGTCCAGTGATGATACGAACCTGTGTTTTTCAAATGAGGACCCCACTTTTTTTTTTAAAATTATTTAGTGGATAATTTTTTTGAGAATTTTAATGTATCGAAATCAAAATTCGAACGAGTGGTTTCATAGTTATTGGACAATTTGTACTAAGGATAATAGTCCATAATAGGGATATGCTTGTACAGCTCTACACATGGAATAAAAAAAATAACTAAATAAATCAAGAAGGATTTTACTTGCTATTTACCTAAGTGTTAGACTAAATAAATATAAAATGATGTATTATTTTATATTATGTGTATAGACTATAGATAACAACGTACCCATATACTGTATAAGCATATTATCCTTCTTCCCTATTATAAACTATATTATTATCCTTAGCACAAAATGTGTAATAACTAGAAAACTACTCGTTCGAATTTTGATTTCAATACATCAAAATTCTCAAAAAAATTATCTGCTAAATAATTTACAGTAAAAAAATGAGGTTCCCATTTGAAAAACAAAAGTTTGAATCGCTGCAAGACACTCCTTAAGTGGTACAAAAAATCTCAAGAATATGAAAATATGGTCTTTGAGTATATTTTAAGATTCCAAAAATCAGATTTTGAAAAACTTCATTATTAAAGAAAAAAAGGGGGTGAGCATACGTGTTGGATCACTGTATATTAAAAAAAATTGGATTTACTAGTTTCCTAGTTTGATTGCATGATCTTAATTTTTTACTAACATCATTCATCAGGACCAAGTCTAAACAAAATAAATCTGATGATGGTAATATAACTAAGTATAGACACAAAACATATTAAATTGTTATTTTAATAGTTTTAAATTTAAAAACAAATCAAAAATTATCTAATGATAAAACCGAATTTTATTTTACAACCTAATAGTATGAAACTAACGAATTAAATCAGTTCAAAAACACTATGAAAATAGTAATATTTTAAATTCTCAGATATTTCATTCATTGATTGTTAAATGTGTTGGTCAATATATTATATTTAAATTAATATATTTTATAACTCATAATAAAATTCTTCAACAATTAAAAAACTTTTACAAATGCATACTTTTTTCAGTTATTATTTAATTATTTAAATTATGATTATTGCACATACTGGACAGATACCTTTAAGTTGAATAGCCTTGTGTAATAATATAATATATACATGATATGGTATTTTTTTTAAATCTATTTAATATGTTCAATTATTGTTCCTACAATTGTTATGTTAATTTGTTTTCATTGATGGGCTACGCTTTTGAAAAAAAAATATTCACTGACTTCTAAATTGAATATGGTTACAACTTTACAAGTTACGTTAATTTATAATATATGCATTTAATAGGCAACAGAGGAGGGGGTTAAACTTTTTTAAACATCACACAAATACATCATTGTAATAGCATAACTCTGTTTAGAATCTATAATTATATAGTGCTCTTCAATAAATTCATAAATTATACTATGCTGTCCATCTTTTTTTTAATTTCAATATTAAATATATGGATATGAGAAAACAACAATTTTTTACACTGAGTATAATCAATTATATTAATTAAAACTCTTATTACTTAAGTGATAATTAACTGGCTCTTTAAATATACATCATATACGTGTCATTATACAACACAATAAAGTTTCAAAGTTTCATTATTAATGAATGATTTTAAAACTACCACGCAATATGCATTACACAAAATATTTGTGTACTATGTAGGGTTTATATTTAAATACAACTTAATCATCATTCAAATATAGTTTTACATTTCTAATTCTGTTTCGTTTTCGGAATAGATAGTAATAATTTCAAAAATAAATGTATTCATTATTTAAAATAACCATTGTAATATAGCTACATACTTCTTTCCCTAAATAAAATGTACAACATAATAATTAAAAAATATTCCCATCTATTTAGAGCATTGATGATAATGTACGATGAAATTTTCACTTTTTAAGTTAATTTTATCAGCCCATCGTTGTCAATACCATGCCTACATCATATCATGCTTACTTAATCATTATTAATAATTTTTGTTTATTATTATTTATAAAATATTAACATAAACTATTATACCCCAACTATAATGATATGATTAATAATTAAGCAACTAAAAGAACATATTACATTAGTATGAAACGTAAAATTCATATTATATTTTAAATGTTGAAAACAATATAGGAAACGGAACGATGGAGTACAGCCTTTATTATGATGACATTATTAGAGAGAAGAGAGCATAAATGAAGTTAATAAAAATTATTTTTAATTTAGTCTAATGAGAAGAGAGTATAGGACAATTAATTAGTAAGTTGTCGAGGGTACAGAATGGAGTATGAACTGTGTCAGGTTTAATGCATGATTGGATAGAATGTTATAGCCAATACGTACTTAGCCTAAAGGTGTATTGTACAATAATTTCGAAACTAGTCTTTAAAGGATGAAACCATGGATGAAAAGGCTGCTATGATATATTTTTTTTAAGCAGACGCGTGAGACTCCAGCATATTTTCTCATTCAAGCTTCCATAATTAGTTTTTGGGTAAATTGACAGCTTGATGGAATCTACGTTGTTAACATCAGTATTAAATAATATGTATTATCAAACACACTAACGTGCCGAATATATAGAATTAGAGCTTAAAAAAAGTAGGCATAAACTCGACGGAAGCTTTTTGTTTTTTTTTCGTTTTGTAATTGTTCACATCTATATTACCACATTTCCCAATTTCAACACACCCGCTTGTTTAATAATAATAGTTTAAAAAAAAAATTAAATATACTCCCACCAAAAATTTTACTTAATATTTAATCCTCACAAATCGGCTATGTTCAAATATTGACAGAAAGGTACATACCAAAAACACTTTTTTGCCTAGTGACATTTGTGGCGTAATGGAGAGGGCTGAGAACTGCTGTGTATCTGTCCATTGCTATGACAAGTATTGAAAATATTGTAGATGTTGCCACGAATACGGTCAGAGCTTTATTGATGGTCTTTATACCGGATACCAGTAAAGGACCGAGAACGGTGGATGACAGCAAATCGGAAGCAATTAAACTACCGACGAATCTGTATTAAACATATACAAACGTTAAATAATTAATATTCATCGTTTACGTAATAATTATAACGGTTAGGTACCATAAAATATGGTAAAATCAGTGAAAATAGTAAACACAAAATGTTACATGACATACATAGCCATATAGGTACTAAAAAAAAAATTAAAATTATTTATATCGTCTCATTTACATACGATAATTACAAATTTATATATATCGTACACAAAATATATAACCTTGATTATGAATAACTGAATTTGATAAATATTAATTTGTTATATTTCGATCTTGTAATTTATAAAACTGTAAACGTTAACTCAAATTGTATTAAATATTTAGAACCTTATACTTACTCGCTGTTATAGTATTTTAATATTAGACTGACTTAATCAATAGAACTATTAGCATTACTTGTTAAATGATAATTAATACGACCAAAAGTTTTGTTAGTAATGGAAACTTTGCTAACATTTTCAATGGTCAAGTATTATTATTATGTAATAAAATTTTTTTATCAAATTCCTATTAAGAATTTGGAAATTTAATTTTAAAAACAATTGAACGCACTATGTAATTCAGATTTTTGACCAACTACCATAACCGCGAATTTAACTTCAATAGAAAAATATATTTGTATTAAAAGTTTTTTTATGGTATTACGGCTGTATATAATTAATTCATTAAAATGTTTATTAGGTTTCAAAGCTAATCAGCGGGACAGAAATAAAGAATCAAATTGAATTAATTATATTTTTTAATGAGCATTCATGACCAAAACTCAATTATCTATCTATAACTGTAATTTATTAACACAGGAATCTTAATTTAAAATCGATATGCTATAGTGTAAATACAATACAGAACAAATATTTAATTGTATTAATGTAATCCATAATATGCAACCCCTAGAATTACTACTATAGTATTATTTATTTCCCACCGGCTAACCGCAGCTAGTCACGTGCGCCTAGACACGCCCACGACCAACCGCAACTGGTCCTGTGCGCTAGGCCTGCCCAACAGCCTACCGCAGCGTTTCCCTGCCGCACAAGCGCAGAAACGTCTCTGCAGGACCTACTTAACCCACTGCGCTGCGCTCTGAACGCCAGTTTCACAGCAACCCGGACCGGAGCAGCAACTAACTGGAAGAGAAGCCAACTACCACACCAGACACCCGGGGCTTGGCCCCTGGTAACAACATGCCAGACCAAAGAAGCCCGATGGACCAGACCCACCAGTCCCATGCATCGACCAGCAGTCGGCTTGCCCTGACCTCGGCGGAAACATATGCTAAGACCTCCGCTGACAGCGAGCCGATCGCCAAGAAACTAAAGGTCGCAAGTCCTCTCCATTGCAGCCATGAATCGACGCAGAACTCCAACGGACACGGCTGGAACGCTAATTTGAGGGAGAAGCTTAACAAAGCGAGGTCTATCATAATGGGTGTTGCATCTAGCGCGAAGATCGTAATGGACAGAAATGCGGACGAGGACCTGCGGGCCCACCTTGAGCTTCTTCTGACCCGTACAGCTGACGCCTTCACGGCAGTGGACTCGCTTCTCGAGAAAAATGGTAACGTCGTGGGCTTGCCCAAAAACTGCTCTCCGGCCGGTGTCTCCAGCGGGAAAACCATGTCCGACGCCTCCACAGATATGGAACTTACCCCAGGGTTTTGGGACAGCCAGGCCTCGAGAACTACCGCCGCCATCCGACGCAAGCGGATTAAGAAGGCCCCAG